TAGTTTCATCCCAAAATATTATCTAATCAACTACAATGTGAAAGTAACGATAAAGGCATTCCAGTTAATAAACACATAAGATTCCTAAGTGAACTTCCTCCACAAATCATTCATTTACCTACAATGGGATTATCATAAACAACACACAAAACAAGGGAGTAAGTCATTTGTTCAAAAACTAACATCACATGATAATCCACATCTCAAATACGATTAAACTTTAATATAATTTATAACCACACATACGTAATTGTAAACATTCATATATTCTTCCTTTAATTTCCACGTTACTCATATTCATCCTATAGTATATATATCACATAATACATATTCTATAGCATGCATATTAGGTTCTTTCGAAGCATCATCCTTCTTATTATTCATATCCACCCTATAGAACATATATCCCATAATATATATCCTATAACATGCATATTACTTTCATTCAGACATTCTCATTTCTCATTATTCATATTCACCCTATAGTATATATATCCCATAATATATATCCTATGGCATGAATATTACTTTTATCATTCACATCCTCATTGTCATCCTTCATATTCACCCTATAGTATATATATCCCATAATATATATTCTATAGTATGAATATTACTTTTATCATCCACATCCGCATTTTCATCCTTCATATTCACCCTTAATCGTATTCATCGATTTCATTTCCCATACCACGTCGGGCAGGTCGAGTTATTCCCCATACCACATCGGGAAGGTCGAGTTATTCCCCATAACACATCGGGCAGGTCGAGTTTTTCCCTATACCACATCGGGCAGGTCAAGTTATTCCCCATACCACATCGGGCAGGTCGAGTTTATTCCCCATACCACATCGGGCAGGTCGAGTTATTCCCCAAACCACATCGGGCAGGTCGAGTTATTCCCCATACCACATCGGGCTTGTCGAGTTATTCCCCATACCACATCGGGCAGGTCGAGTTATTCCCCATACCACATCCGGCAGGTCGAGTTATTCCCCATACCACATCGGGAAGGTAGAGTTATTCCCTATACCACATCGGGCAGGTCGAGTTATTCCCCATACCACATCGGGCAGGTCGAGTTATTCCCCAGGAAAGATGGTTCTCGTTTATGGTAATACACCGTCAGGAAAGATGGTTCTATCGTTGATGGTGTGTATGACTGATAATTTTATGATAAAAGTAAAAGATAGTGTGATATGATGATGATTATGTTGTGGTTTTTTTATTTATGATAGAAGGACATGATTATGTTATACGATGGTGAATATGATGGGAATTGTTTAATTGCGATAAAGGGACATGAATATGTTGTATGGCGATGATTATGTTGTGAGGTGTTTATTTGTGGTAGGGAAAGAGGTAGATATGACAATTAGGATATAGTTGTGGTTGTGGATATTATTGTGAAATAGGGGTGTGAGGGACGAACCTCGAAAGTATTAGAGATGTTAGATGATGGGTTACTTCCCTGGATCAGGGAAGTGGTAAACTAAGCATTTGCGGATGCTTTGGTAGCATGTGATATTGGGATCACGCTCGATTCACCTATGTGGTATTAGGTGGTTGATGAAGCGTTGAGTAAGCATTATAATAGGAAACTAGGATGTTTAAGGAAACTACGGGATGTAGTGAGAAGATAAAGTGATAAATACAATCGATGATAACGAGTAGCGCGATAACAGTCATGTGATAGCGTTGGTAGTCGTAACGTGATGAGGATCGAGGGGGAATCCTTGGTTAGTGAAGTCTATTTTTATATAATACACTTTGGCTCAAGTTATGTAGCACACTTTGGCTCAAGTTATGTAGCATACTTTGGCTCAAGTTCTTTGGCTCAAGTTATGTAGCACACTTTGGCTCAAGTTATGTAGCACACTTTGGCTCAAGTTATGTAGCACACTTTGGCTCAAGTTATGTAGCACACTTTGGCTCAAATTATGTAGCACACTTTGGCTCAAGTTATGTAGCACATGAATGTCTAGCCTTAAATAGTATTGCAGTATTATATTGTTTTAGTTGTGTTGTATTACTGTGAAAGTACTGTATTGCCATCGGAATGTAGTTGTTGTTGTGTATTGTAAGCGACTATGGGATTATGATCTTGATGAAGATTGAATTGAATAAATCGTATAAGTAAGTTATAATAGTTACTAATTGAAGATGTGAATATCCTACTATATGTTGTAATGATTATGTGTATCGTTTGCATATATTGATATGGTTGATTTTAGTTGATGTATAGGTTGTGGCACTTTAATGTTATTACTCCATGTAATTCCATGCTGCGGTTGCCGTAGTTGGTTCTTACTCCCTCTTTCTTTCTTTGTCTATGTGATGTATGTTGTAAGGACCCAAATTCTACCCTAGAAATTGTTTCCTTATTTTAATCCATTTATACATACATTCATCATTTCACTCTGATCAATCATTAATCACTACTTAAAACCCTTTTTTTTAACATGCCATACCACAACACTTTTCATATGACAGAAAAACATAATTCATTTTAAATATATCTCGGTAACTACTGCATACAACTAGATATGGGTTTCCAAAATACCCATAGCTACAAATATCCAGAGTTACAATTAACCATGTCTACAAACATGGCCCAAAACATCATGCCCATGATTACAAATATTCAGTTCAAAATATAATCAGTTAGATTACAAAACAATGCATATAAGGACTTTGAAACTAAAAGTCTCTAAGCTTCTAATCCAAACATCCTTAAATCTTCCACTTACCTGCAATGGGATTAACATTGACCATACACAGAAAACACAAAGGAGTAAGTCGTTAACTCAATAAATGTCAATGTACATTAATCCACATTTTAATAAGGTTAAGTAAACAATTTAAAGTTAAATATACTTAAAACCATTTCCATCGTTTATACTCTTGAAAATCATGCTACATAACTTGAGCCAAAGTTTGCTACATCGCTTGAGCCAAAGCTCGCTACATCGCTTAAGCCAAAGCTCGCTATATCGCTTGAGCCAAATCTTGCTACATCGCTTGAGCCAAAGCTTGCTACATCGCTAGAGCCAAAGCTTGCTACATCGCTTGAGCCAAAGCTTGCTACATCGCTTGAGACAAAGCTTGCTACATCGCTTGAGCCAAAGCTTGCTACATCGCTTGAGCCAAAGCCGCTAACCAATCATGGTCGGCTAAAGACGAGTTTTTTTTCATTGATACACCATCAATTTACAAACAGTAAATACATGCAATCATTATTACAAACATACCCATATATGTTTATAATAAATAAGTGGTTCACAACTTGATCATTATTCACAACCAGAAAGTCCACACATTTTCTATCACAATTCACAAGTTAAAGACTTATCCTTACCTTGGTGAGTGTTGGGTTTGGTTCTTGGTAACTTCGCAAGTTCCACCGACACCGCCTACAACTTTAGGATCTTTCCTCATTCCCACCATATAACACAATGTTAGTCATTTATTCCAAACATCACATAAACAACTCATATTGCATTCTTTAACCATACAAGATATTTAACACATTTTCAATGTTTCTAAACTACTTTCATCATAAGTTTACAAACGTCTAAAACATACATATTCATATCATATTTCAACATTAGAGTGCATACTCATCTTCTACACCTAACACTTTACCCATTTTCCTCTTTAGCCACATTTTCATTTTAGGGTTTTGGGGTTTTCATGAATCAACCCACAAACCCTCTCCATTCTAAATTACCTCTTCTCAAGCTTCTAAATGACTCACAAGACTTCTTGCTCTTGAAAATGCCCTCTTCTCTCACTTATCTCTAGGTTAACCCTCATAAATGTGTTTGGGGTTCCATATTTACTGTAACAGCGTCGGGTTCTCGCTTAAGCAAGCTCATTCTCGCTCTAGCGAGAAAATCCAGCCCAATTTAAAAACTCAGATCTGACCCTCTCTCCCAGGCGAGGGAACTCTCGCCCAGGCGAGGCATCTCTCGCTGAAGCGTGGATCCTCTCGCCCAAGCGAGGATCTTACAGTCTCGACAGGTCCAAAACATCATTTTTCTCGCCCAGGCGAGTCAATTCTCGTTCAGGCGAGAATCTTCCAGTATAGCCCAGGATTTCACCTTCCCAGGTGAGCCTTTCTCGCCCAGGCGAGAATCCCTCGCTCAAGCGAGAATCCCAGGACTACTACTATAATTTTAAAGACTCAAACTTAGGGTGTTACAGCATTCCTTGGGTTAAGCACAGTATGAGAAGGTAACTTGTCAAAATTCTGCAACTGCAATGTGTTTAGTATAATAGCCATCTACCCCATCTGGGTGGTTAGATTTTGAATGGAAGACTCTTGTCTCTGAATTGATGCTCTGGTTTCTTGTTGGAACTGCATGATCTGCATTGTCATCTGCCTCACCAATTCTTCCAAATAGGGTTCGTTAGGTGCAAGATTGTTAATCATTTGTTGCCTCTGTTGTTGGATTGGTGGGGGCATATACGATGGTCTATTATGCCCAACATTATTCTGAAATGGTGCCTGATTTCTCCAACTATGATTGTATGTGCTAGATGAGGGTGGATCATTATGTTGCTGCTGATGTGGAGGTCTGTTATTGTAGATGTTAGCACCACAAGCCTCAGGATGATCACCAGTTCTTGGCTCAAGCAGATAAGGGCACACATCACTATAATTATCAGTTCAGGTGCAAATGCCACATACTATTGCCATTGAATATTTTTGCTGATTCATGTCTAACTGAGTGATCTAGGAGGTGAGGGAATCCATTTTGCTCTCAAGCTTGTCTTGTATTGCAGCATTTGTCCCAACATCATGGACTCCTCTTACAACAATGACATCACCACTCCTTGCATTGAATTTTTGAGAATTGGAAGACATATTCTCAATCAAACATCTTGCCTCAAAAGGAGTCATGTATCAATGTGCACCACCACTAGCAGAATCAATGATACTTCTATCCATGTAGTTCAGACCCTCATAAAAATATTGCAGGAGGAGTTGCTCAAAGATCCGATGATGAGGACAACTAGAACACAATCTCTTAAATCGCCCCCAATAGTCATATAAGCTATCATCATGTTGCTGCTTAATTACAAAGATGTCATTTCTGATTGTTGTGGTTCTGGATGCAGAGAAGAATTTACCCAGAAATGATCTCTTCAAGTCACCCCAACTTGTGATGGAACTAGGAGGCAAATAGTACAACCAGTCCTTTGTAGGGCCCTCAAAATAGCGAGGTAAAGCCTTCAGACAAATGTGATCCTCCATAACATCAAGTGGTTTCATGGTTGAGCAGACAATGTGGAACTCCTTAAGATGCTTATGAGGATCCTCACCTGCAAGTCCATGAAACTTAGGCAACAAATGGATTAGTCCACTTTTTAGCATATATGGTACATCCTCATATTGGATACACAAACTGTCAGAAGTAAATTCAGGGACAGCCAACTCCCTTAATGTCCTCTCTCAGGGACCAGGAGGATTAGGTGGCTAAGCCATATTTTCAGAATAGACAGAATGGTCAAAATCAGAACATGCAACAAAATGCACATAATCAATATATGCAGAATGCACAGAAACAAAATGCTCAGAAGCAGTATTTTCAGCAATAGGATGTTCAGAAATAAGAAAAAAAATTAGTATCTAAATTCCTATTTTGTTTAACTAACATATGATATGTTCTATAAATTTTAAGATTTATTGAATGCAAATGGCCTGTATTCCTTCTAGTCATGCGCTACTGTCAACAATAGCAACAAAACAAGGCAGTAATGGAAATACATGTCGGAAATGTTTAATCAACTAATTCTTTGTATCAATAATATCCTAAAATCATATAGAACATGTTCAAAAAGTTTGAATGAAAAACTCAAATCCTAACTATGTTAAAAATACAAAACAGGCTCACTATAAACTTTTTAAAATAAAAAAGAAATAGTAAAATGCGTTTTTTTGGATTTTGGGGCGGACTTGACAAGCATATTAAGTCACAGTGGATGAAACTTAAAATTATACACCAAATGCATATATCACATGTCCAATTCTGATATACGGAAACAATTGTGCTAAAATTAAAATTTCAACTATTCATTATTCAACGCGTAGGTGCATCCCACAAAGTGTAGCTCAGAAAGTGATTATGATTTATCTGGTGTTCAATGTGGGATGAAATATGTAAGGACCCGAAATTCTACACTTGAAATTTTTTCGTTTATTTTAATCCTTTATGCTTGATTTCCCATGTTTCATCATACATATATTTCCTTTAACCTTTTAAATCATCCAATATCTCTAATCATACAATTTCAGTTTCATACCATGACGACCCTTAATTGAAGAAAAACATAATTCATATCAATGTCTCCCGATAACTACCGCATACAAGTAGTTATGCGTTCCAAAATACCCATAGCTACAAATATCCAGAGTTACAATACTCGAAGTTACAATTATCCAAAATAACATTTAATCAGTCATAATACAAAAAGGGCAAAACAAAGGAATCCAGGTTTTAAGTTCCTAAGGCTTCAAACCAAGTATCCTCAACAAACCTGTTTATCTGCAATGGGATTATCGATGACAAATACACACAACATACGAAGGAGTAAGTCATTAATTCAACAAATATCCAAAGTTACCATTATCCATGGCTACTACCATGTGCAAAAATCATAACCATGGTTACAAATATTCAGTTCAGAATACAATCAATTAGATTACAAAAAGAATGGACAAGAGGACTTCAAAAACAAAAGCCTCTAAGCTCCTAATCAAAACATCCTTACTTCTTCCACCTACTTGCAATGGGATTAACATTGACCATACACAGAAAACACAAAGGAGTAAGTCGTTAACTCAATAAATGTCAATATACGTTAATCCACATTTTAATAAGGTTAAGTAAACAATTTAAAATCAAATATACTTAAAACCAATTTCATCGTTTATACTTTTGAAAACCATGCTTCATAACTTGAGCCAAAGTTTGCTACATTGCTTGATCCAAAGCTTGCTACATCGCTTGAGCCAAAGCTTGCTACATCGCTTGAGCCAAATATTGCTACATCGCTTGAGCCAAAGCTTGCTACATCGCTTGAGCCAAAGCTTGCTACATCGCTTGAGCCAAAGCTTGCTACATCGCTTGAGCCAAAGCTTGCTACATAGCTTTGGCTCGCTTGAGCCAAAACTTGCTACATTACTTGAGCCAAAGTAGCTAACCCATCATGGTCGTCTAAGAACGAGTTTTCTTTTCATTGACACTCCATTTTATAAACAGTAAATCTACACCATCCTTATTACAAACATACCCACATATGCTTCTAATAATTAAGTGGTTCACAACTCAATTCATTATCCACAACCAGAAAATCCACGCATTTTCTATCACAATGTATAAGTTAAGACTTATCCTTACCTTGGTGAGCATTGGGTTTGGTTATTGGTAACTTCGCAAGTTCCACCGACACGGCCTCCCAACTTTAGGATCTTTCCTCATTCCCACCATATAACACAATGTTAGTCATTTATTCCAAATAACACATAAATAACTCATTTTGCATCTTTAACCATATAAGAGATTTAACACATTTTCAATGTTTCTAAACTACATTCGTTATAAGTTTACAAACATCTAAAACATACATATTCATCTCTTATTTCATCATTAGAATGCATACTCATCTTCTACCTCTAGCATTTTATCCATTTTCCTCTTTAATCACATTTTCACTTTAGGTTTTGGGGGTTTTCATGAACCAACCCACAAACCCTTGCCATTCTTCAAATACCAACTCTAAACCAAGAGTTTACAAGATAAAAACAACATAAAATGAACCATAACTCAAAAGGGCGAGTTTCCATGGTTTCTCACATTTTGAGAAGAGATCCAACATACCCAAAATGAGATTCAAAGAGAAGGATAGAGTTAGAATCAAAAGTTTTACCTCTTCTCAAACTCTTAGATGAGTATCAAAGCTCCTTGCCCTTGGAAAAGCTCTCTTCTCTCACCTCTCTTCAATTCTTAACCCTAAAATGTGTTTGGGTGTTTCTCATTTAATGCAACTCGTCGGGTTCTCGCTTAAGCGAGCCCATTCTCGCTCAAGCGAGAAAATCCCTTCTATTTTAAAAACTCAGATCTGACCCTCTGGCCCAGGCGACGGAACTCTCGCCCTGGCAAGTCATCTCTCGCGCAAGCGAGGATCCTCTCGCTCAAGCGAGGATCCTCTCGCTCAAACGAGGATCTTACAGCCTCGACAGGTCCAAAATGTCACTTTTCTCGCCCAGGCGAGCCAACTCTCGCTTAGGCGAGAATCCTTCAGTATCGCCGAGGACTTCACCCTTCCAGGTGAGTCTTTTTCGCCCAGGCGAGAATCCCAGGACTGATACTATAATTTTAAAGACTTAAATTAAGAATGTTACAATTTTAAATTTATTTGCGCTACATAACTTGAGCCAAAGTTTGCTACATCGCTTGAGCCAAAGCTTGCTACATAACTTGAGCCAAAGTTTCGCTACATAACTTGAACCAAAGTTTGCTACATCGCTTGAGCCAAAGCTTGCTACATAACTTTAGCCAAATTTTGCAACATCGCTTGAGCCAAAGTTTGCTACATAACTTGAGCCAAAGTTTGCTACATCGCTTGAGCCAAAGCTTGCTACATAACTTGAGTCATACAAGAGATTCACACATTTTCAATGTTTCTAAACTACTTTCATTAAGAGTTTCCAAACATCTAAAACATACATATTCATCTCATATTTCAACATTAGAGCACCAACTCATCTTCTACATCTAAAATTTCACACATTTTCCTCTTTAACCACATTTTCATTTTAGGGTTTTGGGGTTTTCATTAATCAACCCACAAACCCTCTCCATTCTTTGAATACCATCTCTTAACCAAGATTTTACAAGAGAGAAAGTAAATAAAATGAACCACAACTCAAAAGGAAGAGTTTCCATGGTTTCTCACATTTCGAGAAGAGATCCCATACACCCAAAACGAGTTTGAAAGGGAGAAGGAGAGTTAGAATCAAGAGGCACAAACTGTCATAAGTAAAATCAGGGGCAGCTAGCTCCCTTAATGTCCTCTCTCAGGGACCAGGAGGATTAGGTGGCTAAGCCATATTTGAAGAATGGACAGAATGGTCAAAATCAGAACATGCAACAAAATGCACATAATCACTATATGCATAATGCACAGAAACAGAATGCTCAGAAGCAGTATTTTCAGAAATAGGATGTTCAGAAATAAAAACAAAATTAGTATCTAATTCTTATTTTGTCTAACTAACATATGATATGTTCTATAAATTTTAAGATTTATTGAATGCAAATGGCCTCTATTCCTTCTAGTCATGCGCTACTGTCAACAATAGCAACAAAACAAGGCAGTAATGGAAATACATGTTAGAAATGTTTAATCAACTAATTCTTTGTATCAATAATATCCTAAAATCATATAGAACATGTACAAAAAGTTTGAATGAAAAACTCAAAGCCTAACTATGTTAAAAATACAAAACAGACTCACTATAAACTTTATAAAATAAAAAAGAAATAGTAAAATGCGTTTTTTTTACATTTTGGGGCGGACTTTGTAAGGACCCGATTTTCGTAATTCAAAAATTCATTTTTAAAACCTTATTCATAAAAGCAAAGTGATTACTTTTAAAAGACATTACTCGAACGATTTAGAAAACCTGATTGAATATATATATCTAAGTTCAATTCATCTTTCAGGTGCAGAAACAATCAATCGTTCACTTCATTAAAAACATATCATTACACTTCCTTTTTATTACACAATTTAGATACAATTATCCATTCTTAATAATACTTCCATATTTACAACATTTAGTATCCTAACTATACATTTAGGAAAAAGTCACTCATACATAAATCCCATTTAACATACTCGTCATATTACACGCATTATTCAATTACAACATTAAGAACATAAAGCAACTACTCAAACAGGTACTCCCCTCCGCAAGCATCTGATGTACTACCGCCATGACCTGAACTCAAATACATATACATACAAGGAAAAACAGAGGGAGTAAGAACCAACTTCGGCGACCGTAGCGTGGATTTACTTGGAGTAATAACATTA